AGTCTGGTCTGCTGAAGCACGACGACCCGCAGTCCCGATCACCCGAACTTTGCGATCGTCCCGAACCCTGAAAATTCGATCCCCGGATATACATATATATATATATATATCCGCCTGAACAACCACCATATATATATATATATATATTAATACGTACCGGAGCAAGATCGATGATGCAGCCAGGGTTGTCTGCACGCCCAAGGATGTCTTTGGGCCACCACCGCCGTGATCCTCCACAGGTGATATCGCTAGCTTGGTTAGTTCTGCCCTCGATTAATTAAGTGCCTAGCTTGATAATATGTATATATTTATACCTAATATAGACACAAAACCTATTATATATAGTGTCCCCTAAACCAAGTATGTCATATATGCTAGCTGGGCAAATTCAAGTTTCATCAAGATCTGAGGTTGTGGGATGAAAAGGGTGCGCGTCGAAACGTTCGAGCGCTAGTTAAAATCCCCTGAAATGCTAGATAAAACCGAGTCGAAAGCGTAGAAATGCACGTACCCTAAAATTTTGGCCTGCGCGTACTCTAAAATCCTGTGCTTTAGGCTCAATCATATGGTGATACTGTGCCCTCGGCTCTAGCAATGGCAAAAGACATCGGGAAGGTGCTTAAAGCCGGCAAAGCCTTTAAAGGTGCCTTAAGGTTGTGATCGGCATCTGCTGGCTATCATTGGAAATCCTGAAATAATTAAATTAGGATTAAAATAGGATTGAAATAGGAAAAAATTAGGATTTGGAATTAGGAAAAAATAGGATCGGAACTGTATCAAGAAATCAATTCGGAAAAAGGGATGGGAAACTGTCTGAAGAAATCAATTATGAAAAAAAGGTGCACATTGTGTACTTTAGATCAGTTTCGGTTTCTGTTTGGTTAACCGGCTGAATTCTGGGACTCTTAGTTTGGGTCGTTATTTGATTGACTTATAGGAGCCACAGTTTGGCTTGCTGTTTGGTTCCTTGGGTATTTGGAACGGAGTTGGGGTTGTCGGTTGGTTTATGTCGCGCGGGGATGGGCTTCAATGGCTTCAGAGGGCACGTTTCAATTCGAGACACATTGGGTCCTAGGTGCGAGCTTTATGGGACGTTATCTGTTGGGATTGGGTAGCTATAGTTACTGGGGCTAGTCCACTAGTTTAGTTTCAAGCAAACAAAACCAAGTAGTAAGTGGTCCGTCGTCGTGCCTGTCATGCTCTCTCCTTTTTGGCGTTGGGAAAATGCTGCGCAGCAGAGTCCTTCAATCCGGACGGGCGGCGGGGCTTCAAATGTGGCCCAGCACCCACGATGGAACAACTTGGGAAGTTGCACAGCAAACTGAACAATGCTTGCGGAGCTGCACTGAACTGCATGCACAAGTGGTACGACATAATAATGTACAAGCCAGATGCGCAGAGAAAGACGGGTGTACTGCCAAGCCCAACCCAAGCCGGTACACCCGACTCCGGGCTCTGGTCTCTTTGGTCCCGATCCTGGCCCCGTCCATGCCCGCTGGCCCTCCTCCCGCCCTGGCGTAGGGGTCCGCGACCCTGGGGCCCTGGTCCGGCCCCGACCCCCTGCCGCTGGGGGGCCTAGTTTTTGCCTATTTTTGGATCCTAATTTATTCCTAAATTTTTCCTATTTTATTTTGGGACCTTAATTTATTCCTATTTTTTCCTATTTTGGGACCCTAATTTATTCCTATTTTTTCCTATTTTCCCTTTAAAAATAGGAAAAAATTAGGAATACAATAGGAATAAAATAGGATCCCAAAATAGGAAAAAAATAGGATCTGGACCAGGCTTGTCCAGGAAATAGGAAAAAAATAGGACCTGGCCCCAGGCTTGTCCTGGAAATAGGAAAAAAATAGGATCTGGCCCACGGTTGTCCAGGGAAATGGGAAAAAAATAGGACCCTTCCCAGAACGGGCTTGCCAGCCCCAGCCGCCCCAGATTGACCCCGGACCGCAAGCCGAGAGTGCAATGAAACCGTTGCACAATACTGTTACTGCTATTCATTGGTTACTAGCTTACTAGGTGTACGTGCTAGCTACTGTGCAGCTACCTGGTGACAGCTGGTGTATGTGAGTGCTAGCGACTAGTCTGCCAGCGATGCTAGTGCCGCTGCTGACATTGCTCGCGATCTGTTGTGGGGTCGCTTCTGAGAATTCAATTCAGAGCATGGGAGTTCATTAAATTCCCGCTTTGCTACTACCCCAGGGAATCCTAACACAAGAATCAAAAGGCCACCTGGGTGGGCACTTAGGATGTGGAGTCTTGCTTCAATGTTTCAATAACTCTTGACATAACATCTAGATCCTAACATCTCCAGTAGCTATCGGTTCGGAATACTCCTTCTCTCCTGTTCCTGATAAACTTTCATTCTGCAGGCTTCCACATAATAACATCCGGTTTCAGAAACCGAATCCAAGTCCTCCCCTAAGTCTTAACATGTGTTCAAAACCGAGCCTGACTCCGATCCTGTTTTTTTGTAAATCAAAATCGAACCCCATTACTATCCTAATTTTTTCCTAATTGCAGATCCTATTTTATTTCATTTTTAATCCTAATTTTAATTATATAACCAAATCCCAATGATAGCCACAGTTGCCGATCACAACCTTAAGGGAGGCGAAGGATGGACGTGGCAGCTCCAAGGCCGTAGACCTTGAGGTTGCCCTGAACACCGAGTTCTGTGGTACCACCCTACGGAAGCTCATGAAGGCAGAGGGCATCACACGTGACGAGGCCACAGCTGTCTTCCTTGCGTGGCAGGCTTCGTGTGAGGAGCAGGGTCTGCCGAGCGGGCCCAGCCCTAAGGTAAAAGCCTCGAAAGCAGCCGACACCAAAACGCGAGTCACCGGCAAGCGTCCTCCCTCTCCTGAGCAGCCTGCCACCAAGAAGCCAAAGAAGGCAAAGGCAGAGGATCCGGGCCCAGATCCTATGGTCTTTGCTCCCGCAAGTGCACAGGATGTCGCTGATTTCTTCGGCACAGAGAAGGAGAATGTGCTGAACAATGAGAAGCAAGAGTCCGCCAACGAGGTCGAGGACCTCGATGGTGAGCCGTGGGATGAGAACGAGGGCTTGGAAGAGGATTGGGAGGATTCGGGAGACTGGGAGGAAGGCTGGGAAGGCTCAACAGATGAGTATGATTGGGAGCGGAGTACCCTGGCTTTTGGGACGATTATTGGGAGCATAAGTATGGGGATGGCTTGGAAGCCAAGCTTGAAGAGCCCAGGACCAAGCCCTGGCACTCTCTTGCCCAGCAGCAGGACCTGCCGAACCAAAGGAGGGGACCACACAAGAAGCCGCAAGCGCACCAACAGGACCTGCCGAACCAGAGGAGAGGACCACACAAGAAGCCGCAAGCACACCAACAGGGACCCCGTGCATGCCCCATGATCCAAGCCAAGCGGACACCCAACCCCTGGATACGGAGTCTCTCTTGTCACCTATCTGTAAACCAGCACATGGAATATGAAGGCTTTGTTTCGCAATTTATTGTAGGGAATTAAATTATTGTAGTGGCAAAGTGTAACAACATTTGTGGTGGGGTTCAGAATGGTGCTTTGTGGTGGTGCCTATACTAGCTATTATGCTTGAGTTTAGATACAGACATAGATATAGATATAAGTACAGATGTATGAATATATAGATATAGATGCAGATGCAGGGAATTTAAATTTTAGTATTGGGTATACATTGGGGGTTTTATGTTTCTAGTGGTTGAATCAGCGGCTTAGGATTTATCGGGTTTAGACGGAGCTTTCAGGTCCTCGACCACCCTTGTCTTGGGCCAGCAGAGCATCGCTGGCAAGTCCACACGCCTCAGCCCCGTTCACCGTACGAATTCCACTTCGACGCTACTTTGCCTGAACTATTGTGTGTTGGGCTTGTCTTGTTCTATTCCAGTATTGCTGCATTGAGGCTTGTGCCTTCAGCAAGTGCTCTTGGGTCGGATGCATCTACCCTGAACTCGTTGGTTGAGAGGATGCAACAGCTTGAAATGCACAACAAGCAGTTGCAGGATATGCTGCGACGACAGAATGCTACATCCTTCGGTTCTGCTAGCCCAACAAAAGGTGTGGAGCCGCTGTCAGCCAAGACTATTCAGGAAGATCCTAAGGATGCCACCCCTGCAATGACGAGACCTATTGCCACGCCTGTTCGAGCCCCTGCTCCAGCCGCTCTACCAGCTGCTCCCGCCGAGGTGCCACAGTGTTCTGATCCCCAGGAGCCTGAGGTGAAGGTGAACAGCTCTACCCATCCAAAGGAGTATGCCAAACTTGTTTCTGGGCTCAATTGTGAGTTGTGGTCTTGTGGTTTCAGGACTGTATATGTGTGTGAGTGTGTGTGTTAGCGTGGTTGTTTGTGCTAAGAACCGGCTGTACGATGCGGGCAAGCTGGCGGCTTTCCCGGAGATGGAGAATCTCTGGGAAAGCAACCTCCAGGACTGCTTGGCTTGTGTGTGTTGGCCCCTGCATGGTAATCCTCTGTGCTCAGGAGAAGAACAAGCTGCTCAGAAAGTTCATCTCTCACGGCCAGAATTGCAAAGCTTGTGAGGCAGAGCTGCTGGTGTTAAAGGAGCAAAGCCTCACAGGCAAGCGTGTGTGGAAGCAGCTGCGTGTGTGCGACATGCCGAAAGCACCTTACTTCTTTCCTCCGTGCCTTGGTTGTATACGACATATGTATGCATACACATATATATATATATATATATATATCAAACCAAAAATCCCTGAACAAATCCTGGAACCTGTCGACACCAAGGGACAAAATTGAGGGGATCATTGCTCAAGGAGGAGGCGAAAAAGATGAACACAGCCCTGACAACCTTTCCCTGACGCGCTTTTGGGTCGTGGTGGACCGCGAGAAGACCGAGATGGAGCAATCAAAGCTACTTAGTTGATGCCATAAAGGATAGGATATGTGTGTTTGTGCAATCCTATTGGGATCTGCAGTCAATACTCAGGATCAGTGCTCGGATCAAAGTCAATGCGGTAGCCGATGAAGCTTTCATGGCTGGCTGGGGGTCGAACGGCTTGCCGTCGGTTTTGCACCGAAGTGCCCCTGCGACTGCTGCGCACCCCTTAAATGGGGATGTGCTCAAGGCCTTTGACAAGTACAACACCGGGCTTCAGGAAGCTGCTGCTGCGGCCTGTGGCTTGTCTGAGCTGTGTGAATGCAAATGCGGTTTGATTAAGTTCGTGCTACGCTGCTACGTGCCACCCAAAGGCAATGCTAGTGGTGCCGGTCGTGGGAAGGCGCCGAAGAAACGTGCTGGTGCGAAATCTGTGGCTTCTGCTACGACGACAAAAACCAGGGCAAGCTTGCTCAACGAAGTCTTCAAGACGGATGAGGATAAGCATCAGAGATGGGGTTTCTAGGCTGAATCCAATCACAAACGCGAAGCCCGGAAACCTAAACCCGAAACCCCCGACTTTATAATGATGCTTTTGGGCCTAAGGTTGAAGCTACAGTGCCTATAATTCCTGAGACCCTGCAGTTGAATTCTGTATTGTTTTGCATACCCAGGCCAAGAGCTCAAAAAGGAGATCAATGGCCTCTCCAACCTGATGCTCGATTTGGGCGATTCGACCAAGGAGACCGAGATGAAATCAACTCTGGTTCCATGAACGAGATCCCGATGATAACCTCTGGCCCGATATCCCTTAACTCCACACATAAGGTTCAAGGAGCTGAAGACCGCCGAGGAAATGGACCCCATCTGCCAGCAGATCCACGACCAGGCTACCTGGGTAAGGTTGAGGTCTCGGGCTTAAGGGTTTAAGGGATTAAGGGCTTCAGGGTTTAAGGATTTAGGCCTAGGGGGGTTGTTTTGCTTGGTGATTCGATAAGCCAATCTCAAGGTCATGGAGCTGAGGATGGAGAAGGCCCAAGCACGGGCGTTGGTGACTGAGCTACGCAAGCACGCTTGAGCTTCGCAAAGCGAGAGTGCTATCTAAGTTTTCGTATATTCCTATGGCCGATGGCATAGCGAAGTACAGCCGAAGGTTAGGATATGTGCTAGAAGCTATGGTTGCAAATGCTTTAGGCCATTATGTGTCCGCTGGATGTCAACCATCAGCAGTGTACCTGTGCAGCCTCTATATGCTCGCCTTGCGCTCCGGGGTCCCCGTGCTATCATGGGTGAGCTGTGTGAGGTCGAGTGTTTGGAGCTTCAGTGCCTGGTGCAAAACCTGCGCGAGTTTTGCAATCTGTGTGCACATTTGCGCATGAGCTAAAGCGAATTCTTAGGCGGTGTGGTGTAGTTTGCAACCAAGCAGGTACTGGACGCACTAGCAAGAATGCTGGTGTAACGCACAAGCTGGACAATGTGCTGCTGGCTTGCATCTGTTTCCAAACACGAATGATGTTGTGGGCAAGGTATTGAATTTAACTGTGCTGCGTCCATGCACAAATAAGGCTGGCCAGGTCTACTGCTGGTGGCGACAACACGATCTCCTTGGCCTGCGAACTGGGAGCCCAAAAAAACTAAACCCCTAAACCCTAAACCCCTAATTCCCTAAGCCCTAAACCCTAAACCCGGCTCCCTTGAATCCTTAACTCCCACTCGAAGCGTTCTTTAAACTTTTGGGTCAACGTTGTGTGTTATGCTTTAGAAATTTCTGATGCAGGAGACATTTATGGATCTAGTCTCATGAGTGGCTATGATTCACGACCGTTGCGAGAAGACGAGCTTCATCAACGACTTGCAAAATCTGGTCATGCATTGAAAGCAAACCTTTCCTGGGCAACGGTGCCTATATGCAATGCAGATGATGAAATGGCCTTTGAACCCATGCCGGTGATTCTGCCCTCGGAGATGGTATCTAGCCGAGATTATTTATTGAAATTTAGGTACTATAGGAGATTACAATATGTTAACCCCTGTTCCAAAACCTTACGACTGGATGTCCGGCCCAGGCTTCTGCTCTCGTCCAGGCCGGCTTCGGCAGAACAATGGTGTCGGCGAAGCCTGCTGTGTTGCGAAAATATTGGCAGCACATGGCTCATGATTTGGGCCCTGGGTTTCAGGAGTACGCGGCCGGGCGGGACATGGCTCAGTGTGTGCCGATAGTTCTCTGGGGTGATGAGGGAACTGTTACCAGGCGAAGCTGGATGGTTACCAGCTGGAATCTATGCTTGGGAAATATGATATAAACTCAGGTGTTGATTTACGTTTCCTATATGTAATTATTATACTGATCTTGAGACCTAAAACCCAATTGTATCTGCTAATTATATATTGTGTTGTCGGTAAACCTGAACCCTCAAAAGCCAAGGACTCCCGACCTTTCTTGCTTCCGGACAAACTCAAAGGCGAGCCGCTACATACTGTACTCCATTCCTACAGAACTGTACTGGGTGGAAGAAGGCACGAACATGACATTGCAAGGCATGAATGCAGCAATTGTTGCAGACATCAACAAGTTGATTCACTCTGGCATTGAAACTGATGCGGGCGTTTCTTGGAGGTGTCATTAATTTGCTTTCATGCTCTTGTTTCCTATGAGGCCTCATTACATAGTGAGATGATCTCCAATCCAGTGCTTAAGTATTTGGCAACCAATAGTTTACATTGCACAAACCCGAGACTAAGACGATGTACTTTATCCCAGTTGGCTTCCGTGGAGATTTGAAATACCTTCCGCAAGCCTTCAACGTCAAGAGGAAGCCGGGCAAAGAGCAGGACCAGCCTGGGCGTGTGATGTGTTTGTTTGGGGATTCATGGGCCAGGGTTTGCTACAAGGGTGTTAGGGATCTTATGGATGTTTATCGAGATAATATGTGCTAATGATTCCTATAGTATTCGTACAAGATCCCCGCAGAATGCGGAGTAGTAAGTGTGGGAGCTATATTCGATCTTTAGATAGATAAACAGATAGATCTTTCCCCTCCCCTTGCAGCCCCTATCCTAAACCCAAAACCATCCAGAACAGGTGTGCTTCAAATGTCTGGCTAGTATGGGGCGACGAGACTGGAGCACAGTCTATACGGATTTCTCTGCAACGGCAGGGTGGCGTGGCACACAGAGCACCGCACCGGAACCTTGGGACGAGTGCCCGGAGTTTGCAAAAATGTCGTTTTTTTCTGCAAGGCTTATAAGGGCCGATTGGATGCATTGTTGGCACATGGGAGTGGGCCGTGATTTGGCTGGTGCGGCCCTGAAGATAATGGCCAGGTGCAAGTTTTGGTATCCTTTGCGAAACATCCAGCTGCGTTTGCGGGCTATGACACGTGACATCAAAGAGTTTGCCCAGGGTCGTGGCAAGCAGCTTTCTATCAAGTATTTGAAGAAGTCGTCTTTGCATTGGTATGTGGATCAGTGTCCTGAGCTACACGCCAGTGCTTACGACACGGCCGTGATCATTTCATGGCTAGCCTCGAAATTGGAAGCAAAGCCCCCTGAGGGTCCCTATGCTGGGCTGCTATCATGGGTTTGGAGTGCAGACCACCTGTCGCGCACCATTACAGAAGGAGGGTTTTTCTCAGTGGTGAGGAGAAGGCCAACATCGAAGCTGTTGGTTTGGCATTTCTATCAACGTATTCCAATCTTGCCCGCACAGCATTTCTCAACTCTGAAAAGCTGTTCAAACTTCGCCCGAAAATACACCATGTACATCACATTATCACTGAAGCCGCAATCGACGGCACGGGGCGAAACTACGGATGGGATGCTTGCTGGTACGATGAAGACTGGGTGAAGTATTGCATGAAGGTCTACCGTCGTGTAAGTGTGCAAACAGCTCAAAAGAATCTGTTACTACGCAACCTTGTACAAATCAAAGAAGCCCTCGACAAAGCTGTCCTAAATATGGACAGCTGAGCACACGGCATTCGCAATCGGCATGCAGAGAGCTCCGCCATGGGCCGTGGAAAGTTTCAGGGTCGAGGCGGGCTTATAAGGTCAGGGTTTAGGGCATATAGGTTTTAGGGGAGGTGGGGTTTAGGGTTTAAGTGTCGAGTGGTTTGGGGAGTCGGGGGTCAATAGTGCTTATGGTTATAGTTTATAGACTTTACGGGACTAGCTTGTTTCGTGTTTTGTTTGGAAGATTCAGTGTCGTTAGAGGAATCAGATAGTTTGTTTTAGGGGTGGGGAGGTATAGGGTTTATTGTCCAGGTGTGTTGAGGAATGCAGGGTCGAGGGGTTCAGGGCTTAAGGGTCCAGGGTTTAGGTTCGGGGTTTGTATATATGTAGAAAAGTGTTACGGTTGGAGGGGACAGCTTTCAGTTAAGTTCTGGTTTGCCTTTTGATTATGAAGCCCAAACAAATCAAAGCACCCTGTTCCACAACTTTCAATCTTGAACCACTCACCCTAAACCCAAAACCCAATTCGAGCCCAAGCCGAAGCACCATTCCTGCATCCGCATTCCAAAGCCAAGCTTGCACTCAACATAATCCATCCTGTAAAATCCCAGGCCCAAACCCAAACCTCGAGTCTCTAGAAGTCTAGAACTGTAAGACCAAAGGCACCTGAATGCCGGCAACGCCAAATACGAAACCCGGCTTATGCCATAACTATCTATCTGCATATATATATATACTCATATATAGTGCGCCTACATATTTTGATGTAACATCATGTTATATGTTATGTATATACACATCATGTATGTATGTATATATATATATATATATGATATATGACATAGCAAATATATATATATATATATATATATATATATATATATATATACATACACTGTATATATTGTATGTGTGTATATATATATGTGTGTGTTTTTGTGTTTTGGCACCATATTTGGCTCAAACTGGTGACTGCACCAGAATCACCAGAACCATTGGAAATTACAGCACGGGATCTGGAAGTTACGCCTTCACACGTTCAATGCTTCTCGTGACATATGGCTTTTGCCATGCTATCAGTCAGGTCTTTCGCCGCAGTCGATGCTGCACAGTGTGATATAGCTTCATGATCATTGGTAGCTGGAGTGCTGTTTTTCTTGATGTGTCTGCTCATGATGACACATCTCCCTCAAGCATATATCAAAGCCATGAATGGGAACGACCCATGGTGTTTAGTAAATGTCTCTTAATTTCAAGATAGTCAATATTTGACGTGCTTTTGGAAGTGGAAGCCACTTTTGAAGGGCATTACGTCCTCAAGGTGGGCACCCTCGACGGGGTGGGCCGAAGCGAGACGCCGGCTGCCTCAATCGTCATCTCCACCCCCCGGCGCCTGGGCCTTCGACGGTTTAGTCTGCAGCCCGAGCTCCTGGAAGAGGTCCGCCAGGCAGTGGAAGCCGCGAGCTCCGGGAGGTCAACGCCGTTGAATCATCGACGAAGTGCCCGCCGACGACCCACAGCATGCAGGACCCTCGTCAGCGCCTGCAGCGCGTCCGCGGCCCGGTTAAAATTCCAGACCGACGCCGCGGCGCCGAAACACATGGCCAGATGAAACCAAAGTGTCAGGCCCGCCGGTGTCGCCAGGAAGGTGCCGGAGTGGGCCGGGTGACGCACCGCCCACTGCCGGTACGCATTGAGCAAGTCGTGCCCGAAGAGGCGGGCCGCCGGGACACCACGAGTGCCTGCCAGCTCCACCACCCGCCGGATAAAGTCCACGACGTCATCGACGAAGTGGTGGGTGGGGACGTCATGCGCCAGGATCGT